CCCAAGGAACCATAAGGATCCTTGGGCCTTTTGTGTGACATTTCAGATAATACAGTGTCCATCGCTGTTATGGGCACTTTATAGTTTTTCATTATCAGTAATTGTGAGTAAAACACTAGGTTCTTCAGTTCTGTCTTGTTTGTAGAGTTAAAATATAGTATATGGTTTTATTACTATCCAAGGGGAAAAATGGTTCATAATGGTTACAATAAAGGTAATTCATGAACAGAATATTTTTAAAATTTGGGCGTAGGAATATTCAATTTAAATTATTGTAGAATTCTTATGCAAATAAAACTTTTCTCATTCAGAACATCGTGGAACTCTGTATCATTATAGGATTAAGACTTTTGTTGAGTCATCACTGGGAATCACATGATTTCTTCTCCCTAGTTTCACTTTATTAAATTTCTTTTTTCTTTTTTTAAAAAGATTTTATTTATTTGGCAGAGAGCACAAGCAGGGGAAGTGGCAGAGGGAGAGGGAGAAGCAGGCTCCCCACTAAGCAGGGAGCCAGATGCGGGACTTAATCCCAGGACCCTGAGATCATGACCTGAGCCGAAGGCAGATGCTTAACCAACTGAGCCACCCAGGTGCCCCTCACTTTATTATTTTTCTTTGCAGCTTCACAAGTATCTCACTATGAAGCTCTCTGTTACTGTGTGTTAATTATACTTTAAAAGTAGCGCTTTAATGGTGAAAGGAATATGGTGAAAGGAATACTTAATACACACTAGTAGGAATGCAAACTGTTTCTGAACTAAGCCTAGTAACTTTTTTAACAGCTTTATTGAGATATAATTCATTTACTGTGCAATTTACCCCTTTAAAAATGTGCAGTTCATTGTTTTTTTTTTTTAGTATATTCATGGATACATACAACCATCAGCACAGTTGAGAACATTTTTTATCACCTCAAAAAAACCCCAATATTCTTTAGCTGTCACCTCCATTCCCCCTCTCCCCCCCACCCAACCCTAAGCAACCACTAATTTGCTTTGTCTTAGCTTTCCCTAGTCTAGATTTTCATATGAATGGAATCATTTGATATGTGCTCTGTTGTGACTTTTTTACTTAGCAAATGTTTTCAAACTTCATCTGTACTGTAGCATGTATCAATGCTTGATTCTTTTTTATGGCCAAGTAATATTCCATTGTATGGATATACCACATTTTGTTTATCCATTTATCATTTGGATATTTGGGTTGTTTCTACCTTTTGACTTTTGTGAATAATGCTGCTATATATTATTGTGTCCAAGTTTTTGTGTATATTCATTTTTCTACATTATATACCAAGGAGTAGTGTTCTGGGTCATATACTAATTGTGTGTAATTGTTTGAGGAACTGCTTGTTTTTGAAAGCAACTGCACCATTTTATGTTCTCACCAGCATTATATGAGAGTTCCGATTTCTCCACTTTCTTGCCATCACTTTTTTAAAAAATCAGGTATAATTAACACAGTGTTATATTGGTTTCAGGTATATAATGATTAAGCAATTCTGTACATTTCTCAGTGCTCATTGCCAGCACGTTCTTCTGTCTTTGTTAATATAGCCATCCTAGTAGGTGTGAAGTGGTGTCTCATTTTGGTTCTGATTTGTATTTCCCCATTAGCTAATGATGTTGAACTTCTTTTCATGTGCTTATTGACCATTTGTGTATATAGTCTTTGAAGAAATGTCTGTTCAGATCTTTTGCCCATTTTTAAATTATTTTTGCTCAGAAGTCAGCTGTTAATCTTATTGGGATTCCCTTGTAAGTGATGCGTTATATTTCTGCTTTCAAGATTTTCTCCTGGGCGCCTGGGTGGCTCAGTTGGTTAAGCGACTGCCTTCGGCTCAGGCCGTGATCCTGGAGTCCCGGGATCGAGTCCCGCATAGGGCTCCCTGCTCGGCAGGGAGTCTGCTTCTCCCTCTGACCCTCCTCCCTCTCATGCTCTCTGTCTCTCATTAATAAATAAAATCTTTAAAAAAAAAAAATGATTCAAGATTTTCTCCTGTCTTTTTGCCTTTGAGCAGTTTTCCTGTGATGTGTCTGTTTGTGGGTCTCTTTGTGTTTATCCTGCTTGGAATTCATTAAGCTTCCTGGATGAGTAAGTTATTGCTTTGAATAAATTTGAGAAGTTTTCAGCCATTATTTCTTCGAATATTTTTTTTTTCTGCTCCTTTCCTGCTCTCCTCTCTCTCTGGTACCCCAATTATGTGCATGGTGATGTACTTAACAGTTTCCCACATTTCTCTGAAGCTGTTTATTTTTTCTTCCATTTTCTCTCTGGTTTTCAGCTTGCATAATTTCTATTGGTCTGTCTTCAGATTTGCTAATTATTTCTTCTGACAACTTCACTTCTACTCTTGAGCCTCTCTAGTGCATTTTTTAAAAAATTTATTTATTTATTTATTTGAGAGAGAGAGAGAGAGAGAGAGAATGTCTGCATGTGCCTATGAGCGGGAGGGGCAGAGGGAAAGGGAGAGAGAATCCCAAGTAAACTGGCTCGATCCCAGGATCCCAATACAGGGCTTGATCGCAGGTTCCTGAGATCACAACTTGAGCCAAAACAAAGAGGCAAACGCCCAACTGACTGCACCACCCAGGCGCCCCCATTTTTTATTTAGGTTATTGTGGTTTTCAACTCCAGAATTCCTTTTTTAAAATATATATGATTTCTGTCTTTCTACTGATATTCTCTATTTGATGCAACATTGTCATTCACACCTTTCTTACTGCTTTAATTATGGTTTCCTTTGGCTCTGTGAACATATTTATAATGGCTATTTTGAAATATTTTTCTGTTAAATTCAACCTCTGGTCACTCTCAGGCAGTTTCTTTTGCCTGCTTTTTTCTTTTTCCTGGTATGTGGGTCATACATTTCTATTTCTTTGCACACCTCATGATTTTTTGTTGGAAACTGGTCATTTTAGATAATATATTGTACCAACTCTGGATACTGATTTTTCATCGCAGTCTTGGGACTTGTTACTGCTATTTGCTTGTTTATTTGTTTAGTGACTGGATTATTTTAGTGAAGTCTGTTCTTTCTTTCCATTCCTCCAGCATCAAGCCTCTGGTGGTGGCTTTAAGGGAGACAGAGCTTTAAGTCTGTAGTCACCCTGGGATGGCTGGTACTAATAGGGCTTTCTTTCCCTGACCAACCCAGCTGTTAAATTCCACTAATTGCCCAGATTGCTCTATTGTTTTCAACAATACCCTGAGGCTTAAATTCCTCCACAAACTAATCAGATCAAATTGGGGCTCCTTGGAAGGAAGAGTTTCTGAGGTCAGTGTTTGCTATTTTGTTCTGACCCCAGGAGGACTTCTCCCAAATGTCTTACTCTTGGGTTCTTTTCTGCAAACTAGCTGGCTTGCAGTGTAAGCTGTATGTTCATTACCTTCACAAATCTTCTAATTGCCTTTTACCACAACTTCCACTGTTCTTGAGAATACCTTAGAGTTAAACTTATCCCTGCTCTTTTGGGAATATGAAGTCAAGTCTTTTGGGAGGAGATTTGGTAGCATGTGTTCTTGCCTTTTCCCTGAGGCAAAATATGAGTCAGGGTTCTGGAGCTGGGGATGGGGACAATGGCAATCTTTTCTGAGTGACATTCTGGATCTGGGAGCTGAGTGCTGGAGGGTGTGGGGGGATGGGAGTAGGGTGGGAATGAGGTGCATGCAGCAGCTTGCTTCTAATGTGGACCTACCATCGTCTCATAAGCTGGGGAGAAGAGCTGTTTGGGGCCCCGCTGTTCTTAGTGTGCCACACTTGAGGTATAGCTTGTGTTCCACAAATGGGGGTTGTACACGGGGGAGCCCCTGCTTTTGATGTACTTGCCTGGGACTTAGTATGGGGCTGGGGACAGTCCTGCTCCTTGCAGGAAGAAAGCTCTTGGACTGAGAGTTGGGGGAAGAGGGAGCCATGTGTTCTTGGCCACAGCAAGAACTGGAACCTTGCTGATATGGGAGAGGGGAGGAGTGAGAGTGGTCTTGGTTCAAATACCACAGACTTTGACCTTTCAGTCTGAATTTTCATAGATTTTTATTGAATAGTTGTTTTCTTCATTTACTGTTTCCCCTCAGGGACCATTTTCAGAGGCTTTGAATGGTTGTTTTTTAAAATAATTTTCACCAGTTTCACTGAGGAGCGGGGCCAGAGAGCTCCTTGTACTGTGAGGCTAGGAGTCAATCTCTTGTAATTTTGTTTTTTTGAGCTAGTGGTCATGTCTCCTTAAAGCATGACTCAGAAAAGCATTTCCTTCATTATGATCCCTGACCACTCTTCATAAGAAACCCTTAACATGCTCCTGAACATACCAACTTTCAGACGATGCCTGTATGATACAGGAGCCCGAGAGAATTTATTTCCCCTGCTGTTTTCCTTAAAAAATGAATTCACTACATGTGGAAGTACTCTAGAAGGGAAAATTTGCACATGACTACAGAGTTGGTGAAGGAAAGGAAAATTAGTAGTAACTAGAGAATTTTCTTTTTTAAGATTTTATTTTTTACACTTCTTTTTTTTTTTTTTTTAAGATTTTATCTTTTTTTTTTGGCAGAGAGAGACAGAGAGCACATGAGCAGGAGGAGGGACAGAGGGAGAGGGAGAAGCAGACTCACTGCTGAGCAGGGAGCCCAACTCAGGGCTTGATCCCAGGATCCCAAGATCATGACCTAAGCTGAAGGCAGACGCTTAACCAACTGAGCCACCCAGGCGCCCATTTAAGATTTTATTCTTAAGTAATGTCTACACCCACCATGGGGCTTGAACCTACAGCCCTAAGATCAAGAGTCGCATGCTCTACCCACTGAGCCTAGAGAATTTTCACGTGAGGGCACCATAGTATAGTTGATTGAATTCTTTTCAAGTTGACTTGCAGGTGTTGCAGTTAATTCTTGATTTCTTTGACCTCACTTACACATCATAACCAGCAGGCCCTTCCTCAGTTTTGCTGTCATCTTAAATTAGTTTCTTTTCATTCCTTTTTTTTTTTTTTCCTTTCCAGGGGCCACTCAATAGTGAGTCTTCCAACCAGAGCTTGTGCAGCGTGGGGTCCTTGAGTGATAAAGAAGTAGAGGTAAGAGGCCACATCCACTGTGAGACTTTACATATTCCCACACTTCCAGTCTGGGTTGAAGGACGGCACTGCATAACTCCAGGACACACTGATTTAGGATTTGTCTGTGCCTTGTATTGCCTTTTAAGTTCAGTATTTTGTACATACTCTCTAATTTTCATAATGTGAAAAATTTAACAAAATGCTAATTGTGATGTATATGGTATTTAACAGACTCCTGAGAAAAAACAGAATGACCAGCGAAACCGGAAAAGAAAAGCTGAACCATATGAAACTAGCCAAGGTAGTAATAATTTCACACCAATAAAAATATTAAATTCTTATGTACTTAGAATTTTCCGACTCACAGTAAATAATTAGTTCAGATACAGGGATTCCTAACAAAGGAGATTTGTGTACCTTAAGGGAATACCAGGCTGTTTATTATAGACTTGCCATTTGATATACACCTGACAAAAGTGTCAATTCTCTGGGGACTCTCGTTTTCCCTGTTGTAAGTTAGCGATCTTCTCACCACAGGTTTTTCTTCAGACTAAGCATGTATTATACAGAAAAGAGGTTACATTGGCATTTTAACCATATCTTGCATTAGCTCAGTGATTTGTTAATAATAGGTAACCAGAAATGGTTTTATTTACATGGCTGTTTCTACCTCTTTTTCTTCTGTGGCAATTATTTAGTTGAACATTGGCACCCAGTGGGATAAATCTGTAAATATGATGGTTCTGATGCCAAATATCCGTATATAATTGAGGGAGTAAGTGGTTTGCTTCATCCACCCCTCTGAGGAATGGAAGTTGTAGTCTTTTTTTTTTTGCATTTTTCTTGTTTTTTTAATCTACAAAGTATTTTTATTTTTGAGAAAAAATTCTCCCAAAGTGACATGGTCACAGAGTTTTTTGTGATACAGAGTAAACCCTCTAGTTCTGATGAGTTTGTTTTGAATTCTGTGTTCTCTTAATTGAGGGCATGGACTATAAATTAGTTTTATTTTGATTCACAGTTGTAGCATAGGTTTGTTAGTGTATTATAAAAGAAAGATTAGCAAATCTTAAAAGAAGGCAATCTCAGAAAAAGTCTTCTTTTCACTGCTTATTAAGTCTTTTATTAGATGAGGAAACTGTCTCTGTTCTTACGATACAGGTAATTTGGCTTACTTGTTAAAAGTGAAGCCAACACTTGAATCTATGATAACGTATACAGTTACTGAATACATAGTATATTTTAGTGAATGATGGTTTACGTATGTTATTGGAAAAACTATACTTACTTTGGTTTCATTTTCAGGGAAAGGCACTCCTAGGGGACATAAAATTAGTGATTACTTTGAGGTAAGTTAAATTTTTGGAAAAAAAAAAATCTGTAGTGATTTTTACAAAACTAAATCCTTGCGTTCATTTAAGGCTTTAGAAAGCAATATTTTGTCTTTACTGTGCTCTCCTTCCCTTCCTCCCCATCTTCATCAATCTGATGTTGCCCCATCTCTCTATTGAGAGGAAACTGCTGCTGACTTCCTAAATTTAAATGTGTTTATGATGTGTCTTGTCTGTGATGATATAAAAATTCACAAATGAGGTGATTTTTTCTCTCGGCTAGACTAGGTTTCGGGTCTTACAAAGATTGAAATGGAGTGACTTGGACTCTTCTTTTGTCCTCTTCCCTTTAGTGCAGTGGGACACGTAGTGAGCTCATTGACCCATCGTTAGTGGTTCCTAAAGAAGACACTAACATCCACTATACCACTGTATTCCTGCTTTCGGGTATTTTGAGACAAGAAGGGAAAACATTCTTCTCTGATGTCCTTTCAAAACCATGTGTACCTTCAGCTTTCTAGCCATGTTTTCTTTATATCTTCGTACATTTCTGCTGGAGCTCCTTCTTAAAATCTCATTGAAAAGATAGCAAAATTTGACTTACATGGCATTTTCTCTTTAGCATAAGATGTATTGACTTATTAAAGGGGCCATATAATTAAGACCTGTTTGTGTGTTAATCTTTTACTCTCCTTATCTGAAGCATAGTACTGTTTTGAATTATTCATATCCATTTCTCCCTGTTGGCCAGTTTGCTGGGGGAAGCGGGCCAGGAACCAGCCCTGGCAGAAGTGTTCCACCAGTTGCACGATCCTCACCGCAACATTCCTTATCCAATCCCTTACCGGTAAGCATTCACCTGGAGAAATCTGACACCTGTTGTAGGAGACGAGAAGCCCAGGAACACTCAAGCAGTTTCTCTTCCATTAATCACCCAAGGGGAATGAGACATTAAGGAGAAACATTCATAGTATTACCTGTGAACTACTTAGATTCAAGTCTGTATCTATAAATTTATGTTTTACAAGAGCTAACCCTGTTTCTCAGTATAATAAGTTATCTCTAAGCCTACAGCTCAGGGTCCTGTCAAAGAAATAATTGCCAGTTCAAATACTAGGTTTTTTTTTTTTTTAAAGATTTTATTTATTTATTTGACAGAGAAAGACACAGCGAAAGAGGGAACACAAAC